AGCCGGCAAGAACCCCTCACTCAAAGAAGCGTTGACGATTCCCTGGAGCCAGCCTCGTGTAACCTCCCGGGAGGCCAGTACCAGCCAGGAGGGACACGGATCCAGTAAACATGTGGTGGTGTTCAGCCGTCCCAGCATTCTGTCCATGTCCTCGGGGGTCACAGGATCAAACTCTTCCCATAAAATGGACTCAAGACCTACCTCCATTGGCCCACATGAACTAGTCCAATCGGAGGCTAACCCGGCCCGGATCCGATCGATTTTGTCATGCAGGTAACACCCAAATTCCTCTGCCCGACCCTGCAAAGGGACATCCCGCACCCTCTGATGAAGGAGGGAGCGGGACACCCTAAACAGGACGGCAGATCGGTTACCTGCAGACGCGATAAGAGCGGAGAAATAGTTGCGTTTCGCCACTCTTATCGCTACTAGGTCATCATATAGCATCTAGCAATGACAGGCAGCTTAAATATTGCCATCATATAATTAACAATCCTTCAAATGTTACTACATCTCATTTTTAAAAAAATATTTAATTTTGGATTAAAAAAATGAAACTATTTTAATATAGAAGTTTTCTATTAATACATCTCTCATTTGTGCTTTCATTCTTGAGATACTAAAGTTTAAAGTCATTTGTATCTCCTTTCCAAGAGGGAAAAAAGAACTGTAGCACAGAAGGTACTTTATTCTAAGATGTACCATTTATTTAGCATTAGTTACCAAAATGTTTAAGATGCCTTAGTTGAACTGTCTTTTGTATAACTTTTAACTTTATGAATTACATAATAAAAATAATCCAAAAAAGAAAAAGAAAAACTTTAAATGTCTAAAACAATGATGGCGAACCTTTTAGAGACTGAGTGCCCAAAAACTGCCCCCCTGCCCCCGCTCTGCCTCCCACCCTGCCTGCTCCGCCCCTACCTGCCACCTGCCCCGCCCACCCACAGGGACACGCACCGCCTCCATGGCCCGCAGCAGATCACCCAGGCAGCCCTGCAGCACCATGGCAGCCACACTCTCCTCCCACACCCCACAGCATCATCTGCATGCTATGAGGTGCACGAGTGGAGTCGTGTCCCTGCTGCCCAGCTATGTCCTTGGCTGCACTGCTCCGTGTGGGCCGCACCCAGGGGCGATTCTCCTCCAGAGAGGCTGTTGGTGAGGAGGGGGCCATGGGGGAGGCGGGGCTGGGGCGACGTTGCACGTGCCCACAGAGAGGGCTCTGAGTGCCGCCTCTGGCACGCATGCCATAGGTTCGCCACCACTGGTCTAAAATATAAAAGTTGGTATCTAAGCAAAATAGATATTCTTTTAAGATTGTTCAATGACTGGTATTGAAAGAGTTTCTCTATCTTTGTGAATATTGTGTAAAGTGCTACATAGTGCCCCCTAGCTGACGGTCAGTTCTCAGTTGCTTTTTCATTAACTTTCTCAAATGCTAACTTAGAAATGGGGTTTCCAAGCAAAAAGTCTCCAAGCATTGGGATCACCAAGCAGAAAAAAAGTTGAAGAAGACTTTAATTTTAATTTTCAGGTTCAAGTTGATACGAATTCAGCTATCCAGAAATATCAATTCTAACTCTATGCTTTGTTGAAGTGGATTTTCAAAGTTTTTTCAAATGAAGTTATTATTACATCTAATAAGATGTAATAAAAAAGAAAAAAAGGAAAGGATATGGCCTTTGAGGATCTGGGAAGTTACCTGAATGACAGGTGAAACCCCTATTGACAAGATTTTAGTGGAGAATTTTCAGGCTTGGTATTTCCATGTTAACTAGGACAATATCACCACTTTTAAACAAAATAAAGTCTTTCCAAATAGGGAATTCAGGTATGGATTGATTGTATCTGAAGTTTCAGAGCTTTGAAATTCAAAAAATAGAATCTGGAATTTAGACGAAAACCTTAAATAGCATGGAGGGGAATCCCGAAAGCATTCATCTTTGAGCAGAAAGATTACCAGAGTTAAAGGTGATCTGTTTGGCTATAGAGGGAGGTCATAGAAGTCAACAAAAATATGTAATATTTGCGGTAGAATTGCCTTGCATCATTTTTTACCTCTCAGATATGTGGAGATTCCAAATCTCATAATTCACAGCAAATGTATGGTTGTAAGCAAAGCTGCTGTAATGAGTTCATGTCAAAATATGTTAATTAACTTTTAAATCTAGTGTTCCAAAATGATCTAAGCCTAGACGAAGGTGCATGGACATCTTAGAAGCAGGCACAGGATTAAATGTGCATCATGAAACAAATATACTACCTTTTGTACATGCATTACAGTGGCACACATATTTTAAAAAGGGAATGGCATTTGCATCAAGATGTCACAATGTATATTTCATCATTTTATGAAATATTGACCCTTGGCCATGAATCTTAATTTATTTTTAAATATGAGTCTTAATTTATGTTTAAAATGTAAAAAAGAGACATTCTATCTCTCTAATGCAGAAGTTAATATGTCTAATGTGGAAATCTGTTATGACATCTGAATTCTAGAAGATAAGCCCACATGTCATAGCAGGTTGTCTCTTTCCCCAAAAACTATTATAATTCTAAAAAGATATCATTGAATAATTTTGAGATTAAATAAAGGAATCTTTAAAGAGTTTTTAAAGTATCACAAGGCTTGTTATTGTACTATCATTCAGACACATCCAAGATATAGATCAGGTTTTAGACAGCTTTAAATTACTTTATATGGTGTGAGTCATTGGCAGCTATCTAAGGTTTTAGCAAAAGCCTTTCAAATGCTACTTGATGGTTTAATTTCAAAATCACAGGGACTAAGTCTGCATGTTGTGAGCTCTAGATGTTGTGTTTTTTAACTTGAACAATGGTTTTTCTGTATGCTTTTATAAAATAATTTTCCACTAGGAAAAGCATGGATTTTGTTTTATTATATTGTAAATCCTTTTCCTTGCAAAAATATGAGGGGTTTCTTTCTGATGAAACCATTCATTTTGATTTGTGTCAGTGTTATTATACAAGTTAACTATTGTTTTCATGCTATTTGATTCTGTGAGTAGCAGATGATACTAAACCATTTTTTCCTTTTGGCATAGAAAGGCCCGATAGTGGCTGATTCCTTGAAGCCAGGCACCAAAATCTGGAAACAATTGATTCTTTTTCTATTTCTGTTTGATATTCTTAAATTAAAGAGGCATTGCTTTTGAACATTGCCTGAGAACAAAGACAAGTCAAGAGATTGCCCTGCTGTGCCTGTCTCCATTGTTTTAAATTCTATGCTGTCTCCCTGTAGTAAGTAATGCTATCTGTAATTTAATAATTGCTGAAAAAAAGCAGTGTGTATGTGGAGGGAATTGTATTTATTAGCAAGAAAAATTAGCAGTATATTAAATAGCCATAAGCAAACACAGCAAATTCAAATTTAATTCAGATATGAAAAAATGTGCTAATCAATATAATACTAATATCCCATACTTTCCTTGTGCTTAAATTTCTGCAGTAATTTTTGGAAAATCTGATTTCTAAACTGAGATAAATCTATTTTTACAGTTCATAGCTCTAGCACATCAACTATGGAATAATTTTCACATATTCTTTGTAATTGGCTTGTTTTAAGCTGAAGGATTTCATGCATTGTGTTTTCTGTCAAGTATGACTAGTATTCACGATGGTTAGAAAGTCAACATCTGGAGGTCTTCATGTTTTCCAACTGAGGCAGGAAGAAATTAATTTCTTCTCATATTGCAAATTTCTTTTAATTTCCTTTTTGTCTTCTTTGTAGATCAATGAACTGAGCCATGTTCAAATCCCTGTTATGCTAATGCCAGATGACTTCAAAGCATATTCAAAGATAAAAGTGGACAACCATCTTTTTAATAAGTAAGTTAGGCCAACTTCTGTTTTGTTTTATCTTTTTCAATTGAAATTAATACATTTTTACTTAATTTTGATTTTCTGAATTGTGTTTTAAAAAATATGCTAAGAGTATCAGCAGTTCTATTGTGGATTTGGTTTTTCATTATGTTTTTTTTTTAATTTGGATCCCAAAAGAAATTGAAGGGTGGAAGAGGAGGAATTCCAATGGAGTGAAGGAAGCAATGTGCCTGTTCTCCTTTGTAGGCCTGATGTCCTAGAATGTGATCCCTTCTCCAAAAGGTTGCTTCCAAGCTAAATTTCCACAGAATTTCAGCTCTGGTCTAAGAGAGTCTTCATTAGTATGCATTGACTAATAGTGCTTCTCAGTATGACTTTAAAAGGATCCTATTAATACATTTTAAATTATTCTAAGAGGTAAACTGCTGTTAGATGTTTGGGAATTCTGTAGTTTGGAAAGTTATGGCTAATGTAAAGATTTGATTGTTATATCTGTTGAGGATTTGCTAAGTCAAATACAGTCTATTTCTGGAAGTATTTAAGAAATAGAAACACAGACATGTTTTATTCCATATGCACACAATCAATTGAATCGGAACTGCATAAGTGGAATATTCTGTTAAGAGCAATTCAATGTCATGTATATTAATGTTGAACTAGTTTTGCAGTAATAAAGGCTTAAAGACTGATTAGAACTGAATCCTGCAGGTTATATCAGAGACATATCCATAGAGTGGAAGAAAATATTTTTCTGAAGCTAGATGCAGATTTTGCCATTTGTGGAGAATTGCTTGACTAGCAGAGCAGAAATGCATAATTCCAAAGAAGTGTTTTGGAACATTATATAGTATGAGCAATGGATCTCTTTGAAGCAGACATTTTGAAGCATTCTAAAAACAGAAACATTTGCTTTAATAACTTGGTTGTGAATTATTCTGGGTATTCTGTAATCCAATTCTTTGTGCCCTTAAAGTTTTGAAATTTTGTGCTAATTTATGCCACTGAACATCTAGAATTCATTTTATCTAACTATATTGACTCTTGTAAAGAAGAGGTCTCTACCTGTATGACGTTTTTAGTCCAATTCTTCCAGTAATGTCTCCATATCACCCGTGACTCACTTGTACAGATCTCTGAGAATAGCTTTAAGTCCATCTTTGCCTGGCTGAACATTTGCCTCAAATTGGGAAAAATGTGGCATTTGGAATTGTAGTGCAATGGTCTTTGGGAAACAGCAATTTTGCAGGCTTCTAAGTGAGAATAATTACAACTGTGTTTGGGTGTATTCTTGATCTGAAAGATCTGAAATAATATGGCTATAATATGTATGTTAATCACAATAAATAGTTTCAACTTATAACCACAATTGGGACTGGGGGAGGAGAAGGCAGAGTTATTAGCTCAATAACATGTTTTCTTGTAGCCCCTTCCTGTTTAACTGTATTATTAGTTTTTAGCAATTTTTAATGGAATAGAATAGAATAGAATAGAATAGAATAGAATAGAATAGAATAGAATTGGAAGGGACCTTGGAGTCTTCTAGTTCAGCCCCCTGCTCAAGCAGGAGAATCTATACCATCTCAGACAGGTGATTATCTAGTCTCTTCTTAAAACTTTCCTGTGATGGAGCACCCACGATTTTTGGGGGTAAGCTGTTCCACTGGTTGATTGTCCTCACTGTCAGAAAGTTTCTCTTTAATTGCAGGTTGCTTCTCTCCTTGATCAGTTTCCAACTATTGTTTCTCATCCTTCCCTCTGATGCTCTGGTGAACAACCTGACCCCCTCTGCCTTGTGGCAGCTCCTTGGATACTGGAACACTGGTATCATGTCTCCCCCATTTCTTCTTTTCTTTAGACTAGCCAAACAGAAGTCCCGCAGCCATTCTTCATATGTTTTTGCCTCCAGACCTTTGATCATCTTAGTTGCTCTTCTCTGAATTTTTTCCAAACTCTCAACATCTTTTTTGTGATATGGTGAACAAAATTGGCTGCAGTATTCCAGGTGTGGTTTTACTAGGGCTTTGTAAAGCGGTACTAATACTTCGCATGATCTTGATTCTATGCCTCTGTTTATACAATCCAGGATTGTATTAGCTTTTGTGATTGCTGCTGCACACTGCTGGCTTATAGTCAAGTGATCGTCCACTAGGACTCCAAGGTCCCTTTCACATTTACTGTTTTTAAGCCAGGTCTTGCCCAATCTGTATTTGTGCCTTTGATTTTTCCTAAGTGTAAGACTTTGCTTTTCTCCACCTTAAAATTCATTTTGTTGGGTAGGGCCCATTGTTCGAGTTTGTCAAGATCTTTTTGCATCCTGTGTTTGTCTTCTGGGGTGTTGGCTACTCCTGACAGTTGGTGTCATCTGCAAATTTGATGAATTCCCCTTCAATTCCCTCATCTAAGTCATTGATGAAGATATTGAAGAGTACTGGGCCTAAGACGGAACCTTGTGGTACCCCACTGCTAACTTCTCTCCATGTGGATGTAGTGCCGTTGAGGACTACTCGTTGAGTACAGTTTGTCAGCCAGCTACAGATCCATCTGGTGGTGATGTTGTCTATTCCACCTTTTTCTAGCTTACCAAGGAGTAGGTTGTGGTCTACTTTGTCAAATGCCTTACTGAAATTCAAGTATACTACGTTCACTGCATTTTGCTGATCTACTAGTTTAGTCACTTTATCGAAGAATGAAATAAGATTGGTTTGGCATGATCTGTTTTTAACAAACCTGTGCTGGCTACTAGTTATGGCTTTGTTTGCTTCTAGTTGTTCGCAGATCTGTTTTTTTGATTATCTTTTCTAGGAACTTCCCAGGTATTGATGTTAAACTGATTGGCTTGTAGTTTCCTGGGTCTGTTATTTTTCCTTTCTTGAAGATGGGGACCACATCAGCCCTTTTCCAATCCTCAGGTACTTCCCTGGTGCTCCAGGATTTATGAAAGATGTGGTGCAACAGTTCTGAGATAACATATGCCAGCTCTTTCAGAATTTTGGGATGTAATCTGTTGGGTCCTAGTGATTTATACTCATCAAGGTCGGATAGGAGTTCTCTTACCATTTTCTTGCTTATTTTAATTTTTGTTTCTAGTATGTCTTTTGCAGTGTTTTTTTTTTTTTTGGTATGTTGGGCTATAGTTTCTTTTTGTGTGAAGACTGACACAAAGAATGAGTTTTAAGCAGCTCTGCTTTCTCCCTGTTGCCTGTAATTTCCTTGCCATCTTCTCTCTTTAGTGGGCCTACAGTTTCCTTGACTTTTTTCTTGTTGTTAATATGTTGGAATATGTTGGAATATGTTCTCTTTAATTCAAGACAAGTTACACTGTTTTGGATTAGAGGAATGTGAAGGCAAAGGCACAGATAAAGGTCCTATTGTGTATTTGAATGATATGGGGAAAAGAAATGATATATCATCCGTCCAGCCTCTCTCCCTTTATAGAAATCAGCCAAACAACCAAAGATAGAAGAACACTTTGCAAGAAAAGGATCTTTTAAGTAAACAAATGCTCCTTTTATTTCAAACAAATCTGATGCCTTAGAATGGGATCTTCAAACAGAAGTAGAAAAACAATAGTTGTCAGAGCACTCCTTATCTGTTAGGGAAGAACTAAATGGGAATCAGGACTCCCTCATGGATTCTCATTGTGTGTCACCCATTCCAAATAACTACCCCATCTACTAGCCTCAAGGGAAACAAAACAAGCTTAAAAATAAAAACCAAAATCAGGCTCCCTGAAAAAACTCAGTAGAATTTATGGCAAAACAATACCTGTTCCCAACTCAAGCTGTGATCTTAATATCCGAACATTTCTCAGCAATAAAACATGGACAGAAGATGGTGAAATACAATGTTGAGGCTTATATTCAAAAGCACAAAACTGGACTTTTCATGCTCATCAAGGCTGATAACAATTGGTCCATCTAACCTTCCTATCTGAGGAATGTGTGCTGTTAAAGAGCAAGCAATTAAACAGTAAAATAATCCGACAAAATGTCACAGTACCCACAGTACTCTAACATCACTGTAAAGCCTGACAAAATAAAGAAGATGGGCTTCACACATACTGAAGTTCCCCAGCTACAACAGAAAAATATTTCTAGTTCCAGCTGTTTGTGGCAGACATGACAAATCATTCTCAGTATTTTTTTTGAATAGCTAAAATATCAGACCCAGGATTCTAGGAGAGCAATAGTAATTTCTCTAGGCCAATTTCTTCATAGCCAAAACAGCCAGATAGACCTCTGTGCTGTTGAATAGCTCCCAAGTGTCTTAAACCATAAGTGGATTCTTCTATCTTTCAAACTGGATTCTTCTATTTTTCAACCTACCATCCCACTGATGTCATTTAAGATGAAAGCACATTCAGATTTTGTCCACGGAGTCTTTTGTGAAAAAAAATCAATCTCTGTTCAATTCTATGTTGCCTATATCAAACAACCTTATTAAGTCAGTTTCCGGATGCTTCTGGGGCAGCCACTGCACCACTCCCAGATTTGAGAAAGCAAGACCATGAGAATCAGATTTACTAAATGAATACTCTCCAGGTATAACTGAAGCTGGCCTTATCAATGCTTTTGGCTCCTTACCAAGGGCCAAACAAGATAATATACTACACAAATTAGAAAATATGAGGAAACCTCTATGGAATACCATGGTCACAGCTGAGTCACTGATAGGCCGTTTCTTCAACCTCAGCCATTATTTCCCCACAATAGAGAATGGAATGGCTAGATATTATCCCCCAATTGATAGCTTCCCAGATCTTTATGAGCCAGTAGGGGATCTTGGGCTGACCCAGGGCTCCATTTTAGCTAAGGAGAAGTTCTCAAACACATCAAGACATGCAATTGAGTCTATAAGCAATAAGCAGGGGGCTAGAGGCAGACCTCTTGCTAATTCAGTTGTTCAAGAGCAGCATACAGCAAAAACTACCAATCCTCCAATCAGTATTGTTGAACAAGACACTACAACATAAAATCTATTGGACTGTTCTAATTTCATTGTCTCAAAGCAAGATTCCCTGGAATAGTTACAGAATTTGCATGAGACAAGCCAATGCTTAAGGGAAGTCTGGTTGTTTCCCACTGATTCTTCAGTTCAACACAACAATTTCAGGTCGTTGGCCTGCCAAAATAAAAAAAAAACCCCATTTGACTGTTCTTGAATGGTAATGCGATTTCCTTATTAACTTGGAATATTGCTGGTTTGCACCATCAAAAAACCAACCCTTTTTGATTATCTATCACAATGTTATATCCTTTTTCTTCAGTAATCTTGGGCTACATCAGAGGTGAAGCTGGATGGCTATTGGATCAATTCTATTTTGGCCACCCCAAGTAATGCAGGAGGGAGATCCCACTTGTTTATATAAATGGCATCAATAATTAGTGAGGATTTAAACTCAAGGATGGGGCGAAATGATCATGCATCATTCCATCAATTTAAGATCTTCTATGAGGAGAATACCTTAGAGCAGCAGTCCCCACCCTTTCCGGTTTGGCAGCCCGGCACAGGTGGGGGGAATGATTCTGTGTAAGTAGCAGGCGAGTGCACACAAGCGCACACAGCTCCATTTGTGTGAGTGGCACTGCTCATGATAGCACAAGCACCCACCACTTGCATGAATGGAGCTATGTGTCAGATGCAAGAGCCTGCCACTTATGTAGCCTGGTTCCGAACGGGCTGCGGCCCAGTGGTAGACTGTGGCGTGGGGGTTGGGTTCTCTTTGTACATGAGAGAATCTAAGGATTCAGAATTTAATTAAGCAGGTTTAGGAGACAGACTGATGACTGTTGCGTAGAGTTGTATATTCTTAAGAGCTCTGTGGAAGAGGATCACTTGGCAAAATACTCTTTTGGGGAGGCAGGGAGGATTAGTAGATTATTGAATTGTGTCATGTGATCTTCTAAAAAATGGTATGAAATATTGTTAACCTTAAATTAGTTTGCAGCAAACGAACCAAGCCACATTTTGGAGGCTGAGATATGAAAAATAAAAACTGACTCGATTAAAGGGGTGCACACAGATGAATAGGACTTCCATCATTAAATAATGAGTCCTCAAATGAGTCCTGTCTAATTTTGCTACCTTTTTTACTACAATCATTAAGCTAATGGGTTTCCCCTCGTGGAGTTTGTTGGAAGCCAGCTGGAAAGGTTGGAAATGGTAACCTCGTGTCCCACTTATCCAATTGTGCCAGGTTCCGAATTTTGATGATATTACCCCAGGAATGCTGCAACAGTCATAAGTACGAGGGCTGATTGTATATCATTCTTTCAGTACCATCATAACTTCAAATGGTCAATAAAAAATAGTTGCAAGTTAAGGACTACCTCTATATACAATTCCTCACACTGAGTATCAAATCTCTTTTTCAGAGAAAATATGCCAAGCCATTTCAAATTCAAAGAATATTGTCCAGTGGTTTTTCGTAATTTGCGAGAGAGGTTTGGAATTGATGATCAGGACTTTCAGGTAAGCTGGTTATCATGTTAAATAAATCTTGATATTTAGGAGATGTCTGATTAGGTACTTTTGCTGGGAGAAAGGTAGGTGGAATGAAAGGTAAATGTCTGTCAATTTCCAGATGTAAACTCAGCTGATAATAGTGAGACATATAAGATTATTTAATGGGTGTGTTTGTTTCCTTTCTGTATTTCACTAAGCCTTTGTGGTTCTAAACAATGAGTAGTGCATATAACAAGTCATAGGTAAGAAGCCAGCTCCTGCTGTGCAATGTGTTGGGCTCAAACATCTATAAGTTGCAGGCATTGTGTCCCTCTCAATTGTGGAAGTGGTATGATTAAAACATAGAATTTCAAAGTAAATTTCAAAATATTCTCAAATACATTACAAGTGAACTTTTGGTATGAAACTAAAATGTAACGATTTACTCTTTCTTTCTTTCTTTCTTTCTTTCTGTTCTTTCTGCATTTTAGCTGCAGAGAAGACTCTCTTTCTCCTTTTGCTTTGCAATTCTTAAATTACCAGTGGGATTGCCACTTCTTCTAGTTTTATTATTAGCTAATAATGAACTGATAACTACTACGATTTTGTCATGTGTTTGTAATTGTCTTTACAAATAAATTGGGAGTTGTGACTGTATAAAAAAGATGTGGTCATGGTATATTTTCAAAGATGATATCTAAAGATAATAAGTCACCTAGTTTTGCACTACCTTTGGCAGTCCAAGTTTGGCTTAAACTTGTTTCTTAAATATCTTTGATGTCTCATTGAGTGTCTGTTTGCACATACTTCAGGCTGGGTCATTTTAAAAAAGGTTGCACTCCTTTGTACATGTAATCTATGCAACAAACATTGGTTCCTTACCTCAAATCTCATGCTTGGAAAAACTTTCTGGAGGTGGTAGAATAGTGAGATTTCATTTAATATACACAGTGTCTTTTGTTGTAGGCAAAGGAGATTTCATTTGAAATCTGAGAGAAAAGGTAATTCATGTGAACTGAATTTACAATGTTGCTTTTATATTAAGTCTTTACAAAAATTTTAAAATGTTTATTTGTATTGTTTTTAAAATAATAACAGAAAAAGAAAAAAAGGCAGAAAGCAAAGTATTTATGATAGGCATACATCATCAAAGAAAAATGCATAGCAAATACTTCTAAAAAATGACAAAAATGCAACAGAAAAAACAAAAAAGGAAGCCAAGTATGAAATATTGTTATAACAGTAAACAGTTTCAATTCTATATATCAAATGCAAATATTTTGCAAAAGGGTATATATTTCTAATACATTTACATAACTATTGTGCTTTTTCAATCCTGTTTTGTATAAATGAGTCAGATAATTGATTATGCTTATCCATACAAAGTCTGTGTCTACAGGCAATCTGCTCTTAGGTGGTCTGTGTAATGAGATCTTCGATCCATTGAATGAATGAGGGCATGCATTTATCTTTCCAGTGCTGCAGTATCAGTCTTTTAGCCATAATAAGGACTTGGAGGATCCATTTACATTGTCCAATTGTTCAATTCCACATACCATGGAATTAGAGAGAATATTATCCTCTGAAAATTGTATCTTTTGTCACATAGTCACATTTATATACAGGCAATCCTCCACTTATGACCATTAATATAACAATGGTTCAGTTACAATGGCACTGAGAAAAATGACTTTAAAACCATCTTCGGAATTATGTCCATCACACTACCCTTCTTGTCACATGGTTATGATTTGGGGCTTGACAATTGACTTACGTTTACAACCAGTTGCAGTGCCATCCAGTTACATAACTGCAATTTGCAACCTCTCATCCAGCTTCCAACAAGCACAGTCAACGGGGGAGCCACATTCATTTAACAACCATATGATTTGTTTAACGACTGGGGTAAAATGGTCATTGATGACTTGTTTTAAGAACCACATTGCTCATCCACCAAAATTCCATTCTAAATTGTGGTCAAAAATTGTGGACTATATATAGTCTGCTTTCTCCCAAAACTTAATACGGTAAGTATAGGACATTGCAAAAGCATGTGTTTTAAAGAAGCATTGTTTGTTTGCTTGCTTCTTTATATACTATCTGTCTCATTGTTCAGAGTGACTCTGGGTTGCTTATAATAGTATAAAAGCATAAATACAAAAACTTTAAAAATTAACAACAAAAATTAAAAGCAAAAACATGGACAGAATAGGGGTGGACTTTGTCACTCAGTGAGTAAGTGGTAATCAATAATTATCTGTATTAAATCTTCAACAAAATGCTATCTTAGGTAATTCTTTTCTATACAAACATAGTGGAGTCATATGAACTGAATTTATGTTTTCTTTATGTCAAGTCTGACTGTTGTTCAATTTGACCCAGTATTAGGCTTTCTGATCACCAGCTGCTCCTGTCCTTTTCAACCAGAGATGCCAGAAGGTTTTGCCTTTGAGTAGTTTAGGTTGGGTTTGCCACTCAGGTTTTCTCTATACTCATTTTTTTAATGATAACTCTGATTTTAAATACTTAAGAAACTGTGGCTTGGGAATTACCAAACCTAATTTAATTGTCAGCTATACTTTTAGCATAGAACAGTGCAGAGCAACCATGAGCAAAATGGCAGATTTCCCAGGTTGCTTAATAAACCATGTCAATGTAATTAAAACAACTGCTCTCCCCAGATGTCTTTGGAATCTCAATATATAATTCTTGATAAGTTGTTCCAGACATGATGGGTTCCTAAATTGCAGTTCAAGGATAATCTGTGGCCATTGCCCTCTAACGGAAATTCATTTTGTTGAAATACTTGAAACTTTGTAGTGACAAAATGCAGAATAGTGCTGTTACTGATATTTTAACTCACACTTCCTTTTTAATAGTTTAAATTCTTTAAATTGTCACATTTAATTTCTATATTAGGACATCTATTCTAAGTAGGTCATGACTAGTTTTATTCTGTTCATTTGGAAATCACAAATACTAGAAGTAGCATTCTTGAGTTTCCCACCGGTATATTTTCTGAAGGTGTTGCAGGCTATTAATTATTCAAATGTTTACATGAATGAAAAGGCTACTGTGATTTTGATTTGAGCTGATTAATGTATTTTCAGACTACTGAGGGACCTAATCAATAGCTGTCAGAGCACTGTCATAAAACTAGGACAGTAATTAGTAGAAGACTGTGACCTTTCTCAAGCAAAAGGCTTCTTGGATATAATCAGTATGCTTGCAAATAATGTATCATTTGGAAACAAGTTGCTTTGCCCAGCAATCTGCATTTCTAGTCTCAGTATTTAGAGTCATTCTTCAACCTTTTTTTATAGTATTGACAATTCTACCTTTTGGATTTTTTACTACATTTTTTTAATCTCTCATAGTCAAGAGTGCAATTCTCTTTCAAGTCCTGAGTAACAAATTTGTTCATGGGAGGAGGGGGTTAAAAAGGTCACATTCTCTGCATATTTTGCAAGTCAAGTGGGCTAAACTGCTTCTCTCCATCTTACTATATCTTTGTGAAAGCAGACAATTGACTGATGTCTTTTAGCATTTTTAAATCTTCCCAAAAAAACCAGGGCTGATTCCAGTTTTATTATAGTATCCCTTTCCTACTCACTCACCCCCGAATCAGGCTCTCTGCAGTTATGCAGGATTACAGTGCCACTTCGCTTGTTCAACGGCCATTCCTTAGGGATGATGGCAGTGATGGGAAAGAAGCAAATTGAAAAGGTTTGTATTATACAGGTAGTCCTCAACTTAAAACCATTCATTTAGTGACCATTCAAAGTTACAACGGCACTGGAAAAAGTGACTTACAAATGGTTTTCATTCTTATGACTATTGCAGCATCCCCACGGTCATGTGATCAAAATTTGGGCACTTGGTGACTGGTATGTGTTTATGACTGTTGCATTGTCCCAGGGTCATGTGATCACCATTTGTAACCTTTCCAGTAGGGGCAACCAGATTTGCTTAACAACTACCTGATTCACTTAACAACTGCAGTTATTTACTTAACAACTGTGGCAAAAAGGTTGTAAAATGGAGCAAAAATCACTTAACAATTACTTAACAATGGAAATTTTGGTCTCAATTATGATCATAAATTGAGGATTGCCTGTAGATGGTTAGTTAGTGTCTGTCTCCCCACTGCATGGCTTTCCCCCCCCCATCGTATCCTAATTTAATGTTTTTATATATAAAGAATACTGAGGGTTTTTAAATTGAGGATGGCTTTTATTATTGCACATGGTGCTTTTATCCATCTCCAGAAATATTTTACTCTGCTCTGCTTTACTTTATTATTGCGCAGTTATCGTGATATATCTCAGAATCCCTAACTTGGGTGGTCAACAGCAGTGCTATCTGGAATCTCCTAGAGTTGTGGTAGTACCTCAGGTTGGAACTGAGAAAACTAGATTTGAAAAAAAAAATGATTTCACATACTTTCAGGCTTCAGTGCCTTCATTTTATCTTTTTTAGGGGATTGATTGATTTATGACTCCAGGAGATCCTATTTGCTTTTTGTGTTACAACCCTCAAAGACCTTAGATAATCTTTTACATGACAAAATTATGCACTTGTGCCTTAAAATATCAGATTCATATTTTGGGTTTGGCACTGCCTATACCATAGCAGTTCCATTTCAAATTACCCCCTCCCCATTCAGGTATTATTTGGCTTAATAATTTCAGCTTAAAATTTTATTCATTCTGACTTTTCTACCTTTGACCTCTGTTTTTTAAAAAACCAGTTTTGCTGAAAGCCCTTTTAATATCAACTGTTAGCATATAAGCCAGCATACTGATTGAATAGGTTACATGCTTGCATAAAAATATTTTCATTTTCTGAAAAATTAAGAATTATAATTTAATGATTAATATACCAGTAAGAAGTAGAAAAGATTGGAGATTAGAAGAAGCTAATTAAATTGACCTTTAAATCCTTCCTGCTCTCTTGGAGGTTAATGCTAATCCCTAAACACCTATGGTGCAGATAGATTTCAAAGGAAAAAAGTTGCCATTGCTTTC